GAGCCGATAACAACTGCCTCCTTTCAATTTCAGTGAAAATACGAAACACAGCCTCTCTTTTGCTGAGTATCAGTTTTAAGAATCGATAATGGCCATTTTAAAAGTATAACATACAATAAGTTTATACATTATAGGAAATAAAGGCAAGCGATAAGTCAATATACACAATGTACGTGGTTACATTAATCATTAACTTATCTTTGCGCTCAGCCAAAACACGTTACCTGAGAACAAGTAATAGATTCCAATGCCCAAAGTCAGGGAATATGTCGTTAGATAAAGACAACAAGATGAATGAAATATCCCGTTTAATAAATATAGTGAGATTAGATCCAGCGGGAGATGCTTGATGAGAAGTCCGACTAGCAGAGCTCTCATCTGGGTACATGGGCTGCAGCGCTTGCCTGAGAGCGTCTGTGTGGTCACGTGATGTGCGTTTTCAGCGTTTTGGTGTGGACGGAGAGCAGTTCAGAAACGCTGGGTAAAACGCGAGTGTGGACGCGGATCGTTTTCATTCTAAAACGCCGTTTTAAAACTAAAACGTACTAGTGTAAACGGGGCCTGAGAGCTGCTGAAGGGTTTTGCCGTGGGTCTGGGTTTTGCGTGTCGTCTGCTGGATTATTTTCAGTCAGCTCCTGAATCTCTGCTATTCGTGTACCCCCAAACACTTTATATCTGCATGAATTGGACTGGATCCAGGACAAGACTGTCTTTGAGTCACTCCATAAATTAACCTTTTAAATGTTCAGTGTCAGTTCCCTTTTTAGAACTTTTGGTAGTTGAGTGCAGCACAAAGATCCAGCCTGGGTACATATAGCTGTTGTTTTGGGGCCACTCGTGATCTGGCTGTGACAAATTCAACCTCAGCTTGGCCTTGAAGACTCTGTGTTCTCAAATATGCTACTGAACCATATGCATGATTTGATGCATCACAGAATATGTGGATGTCTCCTAAGCAGGACTCAGAATCTAGCTGTGTGCTGGTGTAGCACCGTGGTTTGGCAATGTTGTTCAGGTGCTGCTGTTCCTTCTCCCATTCTTGCCAGGCTTGCACAAGTTCTGTTGGCAGCAATGGGTCATCCCACCCATGTTTTTTTTTTTTAATCCCATAGCCTTTGAACCAATGCTTTAGCTAGCGTTGTGTAGGGGATTATGTACCCTGGTGGGTCATACTGACTGGCTAGACATGGTAGGTGTACCTCATTGTGGGTTTTTGTGGCTCCCTCAGATGAGTTTTGTAACCAAGTGTGTCTGCTTGGCAGAGCCAACGTAGACCCATGGTGGACTCAGAAACATCCCACTGCTTTTCAGAAAGCCAAACCTCATTTTTCTCAGATCTAGCTTTTGTAGGAAGGTGAGCAACAACAGAAGGGATGTTAGAAGCCCACCGCCTTAATTCGAACCCCCCAGACATAAACAGAGTCTGCAGCTTGTTCGCCAGTTTGGATGCTTTGTCACTTGATGTTACACTCTGCAGGTAATTGTCCACATAGAAATGTTTCTCCACAGCTGCACGTGTGTCTTCACCTGGGACAGTATTCTCCTGGACATGTTTGAGAACAGCAAATGTTGCGCAGCATGGAATGGCAGAACTTGCCACTCATAGATGCTGACTGGATTATCGCGTTGCATATCTCTCCACAGAAATCTAAGAAGCTGTCTATCTTCTTCGAGCAGCCGAATCTGATGGAACATGCCTCTCACTCATGATGGCAACAAAATGCTCTCTACAGCGAAGCAACACTCCTAACAAGGTGGTAGGAAGAGTGGGCCCAGGCAGCAGATACTCCTAAAGGTTATGGCTTTGATACAGGAAGGAACAATTGTACACTACCCTGTGTTTGCCATTATGGTGCACCATATGGTGTGGTATGTACCAGGATTCGTGTGTTTGCTCGATTGCTTTGGGTGATAATTTGATCACATAACCAGATTGCTCCAGCCTTTCGACTTCTTGGTTGCACACCTTTGCCAGTTCTGGGCTCTTGCTGTACTGGCTCCATCTGGGTGATCAAGTGGTGATGGTCAGAACCTATTAGCAGCACTGGCTGGGCCTGCGAAAAACGCATAAAGAGGCAGTCCTTATAGATGTTTATATTTCTTTTGCAATAGGGCTACTAGATGTGAATGTTTAGCCAGACTCAAATTTGCTGCAGTGCTTTTATTGTGAATCTTTTGTCTGGCTGATATGCTGAAGAAAGAGTGAAAGAAACTCTTAAGCCATAAATAAATTGGGTGTCGTGTCGAACTGTGCTTAAAGAAAGCTTCTCTTCATGTCCATTAAGCTTAAGTTGTTCTGCTGCATCATGAAGCAAGATGGTACGTTCAGACCCATCGTCCAGAATTGCATAAACTATCAGTGAATGCTTGACATTGTGTAACAACACTTTACTGATTTTCAACATGACCTGGCTGCCATTTGCTGGCCGATCAAGGTACAGCATCTGACTTTCTTGAGGCATTTCAACTTGCTTCATCTCAGCTGATTTTGGGTTGAGGTCATGTAGGACAGTTAGGTGTTTGCCTTTACAAATTTTACAGATGCCCTTTAACCTGCATTGAGCAGCTTGATCTTTTCATCCGCACCTCTAGCATCTCTTATTCATCTTAATCCAGTTAGTTTTGATTTCTCTGGTTAGCTGTGCAAAATTTGGGCACTGATTAAGATGGTGGTGTTTAGTGTTACAGTAATGACAGAATGCATTCTTGCCTGGAGTTTGAATTTCTGAGGGGTTTACCACTGGAGTGTTTGAAGACTGCTCTGCACCCTGAAAAATGGCTGCTGACTGTAAAATGGGCTTATCCTACTATAAGGTATAGCTGTCAATCAGTCCTAAACTACTATTAAATCCTCAAACCTTTTTAACTATAGAAAATAATAATATAACAGTGAGATCTGTATGAGGTGTACTCATTATATATATATATATATATATATATATATATATATATATATATATATATATATATATATATATATATATATATACACCTCTAATCTTGTTTTATAGGTCAACATTGTTCTAAATATTCTTCAAAAACCTCTCAGATTTCATCTTAAATATTTTCCCTAAATATTCCATCAACACACTCGTGCTCAGAGAAGCTGCACAGATATCTTCAGCCCCAGTGGTTTGTTGTCTTCAGGACACGCCCACAGCCAAGAGAATCTCATGAATATTCATGTCAGTGTCACTCTGTGGAGCCAATAATATTTCAGGATATACCTGTAGATCACACAGGTGTGTTTTAGTAAAGTGAAAGAGTGAAAGAGCTCAGATTGTGTTCCTGCTGCACAAGAGCGTCTGTACTTCTGCATGTGAGTTTAACACTTCTACATTACGCTGATTTGTGGAGATGATGAAGGGGTTTTATATGTGTGAGTGTGATTTAAATGTCTGATCCTGAAGATCAAATCCTCAAACAGATTAAACACTGAGTCAAACACGCTCATTTAAACTGTGTCTAAAAGCTTTATTTTTAATCCCTTTAAAGTGTTTGTGCTCTTCTATATCAGACTGACTCAATAGTGTCCAATAATTCAGCATTAAATATAATTCTAAACATTCAGAGTCACAAAATCAAAAGTAAAGTTAAAGCAGTCCTTCCAGTTGAACAGGAAGAAAAGCTGCTGAAAAACAACAAGCTGACGATCCTTAAACAACACTGCATTTAACCCTTTACTGTCAGAGTAACTCAATAACCAAATAGCCTCTTTAGTAAAGAGACATTTTAATACTAACTACATCAACAATTGGCTAAACCTGAACTTCTCTTGATAAACTCTATATAACATGCATTTACCTTAAATCAAATGTTAAACAGCTGGGATGTCAGATCAGGGTTAAACCAACTGCATTCATGTTAAGGACTATATATATATATACATGTATGAAAGCTCTGCTAATGTCTGCATTGGTGTTTTAGCTGCAGTATGGCAGAGGAGCGAGTAAAGGACTCTCTCTCAGAGAAACACAGGTATTGACACGGGTATTGTTTTTACACCATTATTTCAACACTTTCTCTGAACAACAAAGACCATCAACAATGCTCTTATTTATGTTGCTATTGCTTGATCAAATGATGGACAAAGCTTCAGTTTACAGCTTCAGCAAATGTGTTTAGATCATTCTAGATTACAGACTGCTTGATCTGGTGACATATTTACCAGAGCTGAATATGTGTCATCATGTGTGCTGTTTAAAGTCTTGCACAACATCAGAGTTAAAGCTGAGCGCAGAACAAGTTTCAGCTTGTGCTTTAGTACAAATGTGCATGTTAAACTCAGTGTATAGTTCAGTGAAGAGTATTATAAAATACTTTTGTGTATTTCTATGACAGAAAGTAATGTTTTGTGTTTTATATTCCTCATCAGATTTCTGTGATGAGTTTTTACTCAACAGGTCACAACATCACAAGGTTTTAAATTAAAATCATGCAGAATGAAAAAGCAGCGTGGGTGACACGGTGGTTCAGTGGTTAGCACTGTCGCCTCATAGCAAGATGGTCATTGGTTCAAGTCCCAGCTGGGTCAGTAGGCCTTTCTGTGTGGGGTTTGCACGCTCTCCTCGTGTTGGCATGTGTTTCCTCCGGGTGCTTCCCCCACAGTCCAAACACACGCGCTATAGGGGATTTTGATTAACTAAATTTGCCATAGTGTGTGTGTGTGTGAATGAGTGTGTGGGTGTTTCCCAGTACTGGGTTGCAGCTAGAAGGGCATCTGCTGCATAAAACATGTTGGAATAGTTGGCGATTCATTCTGCTTTGGTGAACTCTGAATAGAGACTAAGCAAAAGGAAAATAAATGATTGAGAAAGCAGCGCATCACTCGTCTGTTTACCCATGATTGCTGTGTAGCAGACCTGATCAGACAGACCTTCAGACAACTAGTTTGTGCTGAATTAAACTGAACAAACTAATGTTTGTCTGATAAACTCTTGTAAAGTAGACTGAAGTGTCACCTCAGGGAGAAAACACCATCATCTGCCAAAAGGTATTTAGTCTTTTACATTATTGATCACACAAAACTGTCAATCACGGTCATTCATAACACTTTTATTATTAACTATTAGGCCGATTTGAAGGTAAAAAAATTTGGATAAGTGGTTAGAGCCCTCACTGTTCACCTCACTGTTGGGAGAGGTTTCCCAAGCCTCCACAGTGTTTTACCCCGTCGAGCTTCACTACAGCAGACAGGCCCGAGGGGTGCTGGATGTCATGAGAGAGGCTTGGAAGGACGAGCCTTCTAACAGTAAAAATGAGCTCCACAACATTCTGGACCTGCGGGCAAAACTCCACGCTCTGAGGCGGCCCTCGTGGGACAATTTGTTAAAAAATTGCCTAGTGGCAAGGACCGTTCATGGACATTCGATGAGTGGGGAGCTTGATTTTGATCTGATGAAGGAAAATTCAACTTACGCCTCTATCCAAGGAATAAATGATTTTTACTACACCCTTCGGATTACACCAGTGCGTTACGCTTACGTTCGGGTTGTTCGAAGCACCGGCTACGTTTCATTGTTTGATGGACAAAATCCTTGCCTGACACTCTGCATTTGCTGCTGCCTACCTCGATGGCATCATCATTTTAGTAATCATTTTCAGCGGCATTTGCAGCATGTGAGGGTGTCCTGACAACACTGAGACGCTCTGAGCTTATGGCCAGCTCGAAGAAGTGTGCAATTGTGCGAATGGAGGTCAGGTATCTGGGAATCCGCTTAGTACACAGGCAGGTGCGGCCCCAAATTGACAAAACTGCAGCATTTGCAACCCTTTCCATGACCTAAGACCAAAAATGAGGTGAGACAGTTCTTGGGGCTGGCGGGATATTATGGGCGTTTTATTCCTAATTATTCGGCCCTCATCAACATGTTAACTAATCTCACCCAAAGGGAGAGCCAGATACTGTACATTAGTCAGAGCAGTTCTAACAGGTTTGTGTGCTGCTTGAGCTGAAAAAAAAAAAAAAGAAATAAAATGTTTGCGCTTACCTGCATTGCCGACCCTGCCTTCCTCTTTCAACATATCATAATACCTCACAACAGTCTAATAAATGATTTGATCACTATTTTGATCTGAAACTTTACTCACAAAAGATTTATCTTCTACCTTGTAAAACACCTTGAGGTTGTGACGCTCTTTTTCCTCTGGTGTGTTTGTGTGTTTAGTGTGAGATCAGGATCATGTGTGTCCAGCTCTGTGTCTCTGAAGAGTGACTGGTCAATAGGTAAACCACCAGACCTCAGAGAGGAAACACCATCATCTGCCAAAAGGTATTTTGTGTTTAACATTATTGGACACATAAAACTGTCAATCACTGTCATTCATAACACTTATGTTATTACCTATTAGCTTTACATTAACACCCGCCAAATGTGGGTAGATTTCGGCTTTGGTGGGTTAGACAGACACCTCCACTAGCCACTTTGGCTGGTTGGAAATAATTTTTAAATTGTGGTTTTCTCAAAACAGGGTTCGACTATAAGAATGACCCAATATGCGTGGAAATGTGATCATAGAATAGAGAAACAGCACGACTAACAAAAAAAAAAATTACATTCGCGCTAGCAGAAGAAAGCAGATGAATACTGAATGAGAGGATAATCATTCGCGCTAACAGCTGATGTGATGCGTGCGACTGTTTAAAGCGCGTGCACGCTCCTGTTTCCTTCTTTGAAGCATGCGTGCCTGGAACGCAACTGTGATCGGATCTCTTTCAAACAGTCAGGCAAAAAAGTAATGCTCATGCACACACAGTCTTGCTGCTTTTAAGAGCTTCAAATATGTCTTTTTGTAAGCAGCACCACTTGCTTTCGTTTTAAACAGATTATTATTTGGCCTTAACCGTGTGATCATCCTTTCATTATCACAGTATATTTTTCACCTGCTTTCTTTTGCTTACGGTTATTTTTGTTTATATGGTTTAATTATCATTTTTTACAACATTTGATTTAATATGAGATTAACTCTCCATTTATGTGTAGGTAACTGGTGATCTGAGAGACCTTTAGTGAGGACAGATTACTGTGCATATATTTGATACATGACAATATTTATTAGTTTAAAATTTTTATTTTTAAAAATTATTTTTAAAAGTCAATTGTTTTTCTTTGTTTTTTTTAAACGTGTTTTTTTAAATAAAAAAGTATAGTATACAGCTATATTTAGCTTGTTTGACACATTTTTAAATGTGGCTAAGAAATTATTTTGGTTTGGTGTGGTTAGAGATAAATTAGGTAAATCCTTAATTTTGAGTTCTGAAAAGTTTTGTGGAATACAAACTAATTGCAGTATAACACCATGAAACCATGACCTATTTGCTAATACATGACACACAGAATGTGAAATGAATGAGGAGGCAGGTGGACACAACACAAAATCTAAATCTAGTAATTTTATGTCAAAGTCATATTTATGCATATAAAAATATTTTCCCAAGAACAAAATTGTGTCTAGTGAAAATGCAGAGTGGCTAGTAATGTTGGAAAACTACTAGCCACTGTGGCTGGTGATCAAAAAAGTTAATGTAAAGCCCTGACTATTAGGCAGATTTGAAGGTAAAAAAATTGGATACGTAGTTAGAGCCCTCACTGTTCATGGTGGGAGAGGTTCCACAAGCCTCCACAAGGTTTTCCCCCTTTGAGCTTCCCTACGGCAGACAGCCCTAAGAGGTGCTGGATTTCGTGAGAGAGACTTGGAAGGACGAGCCTTCTAACAGTAAAAAATAGCTCCAATACATTCTTGACCTGCATGCAAAACTCCACGCTCTGGGGCGGCTCTCGTCAGACAATTTGTTTAAGGCTCAGAATCAGTAGGACTAAAGATGTTACAAGAGCACTAAATGACAACAATTTGCACCGGGAAATAAAGTGCTTGTACTGCTGCCATCATCCAGCCCAAAATTACTTGCCAAGTGGCAAAGACTGTAGGTGATCACTCGAGTGAGGGAGCTTGATTTTAAAGTGGTGCAGATGGAAAGGTGCGGGGCACGCCAAATTTACCATCTAAATTCATTTAAGCTGTGGAAGGATCCAGAGGTGGTGATGCTGGCGACGGTAGTTAGACGGTAGTGGTGGCTTACTACCATCTGGTGCCACCAGCAGGAATTCGCAGATGTGTTCTCACCTCTGCCCAGACGAACCGAATCTGATTCAGCACCTTATTGAGACCACACCAGGTGTTGTAGTTAGAAAACGTCGATACAGGTTGCCTGAACACACACACACACAAAAAAATGGTTCAGGAAGAATTGAAGATGCTGGAAATGAGGGTGGTAGAAGAATCCCACAGTGACTGGCAGAGACCAATTGACAGACAGTATATTATGGGCGTTTCATCCCTAATTATTCGGCCCTCATCAACATGTTAACTAATCTCATTAAAAAAGGAGAGCCAGATACTGTACAATGGTCAGAGCGTTGCCAAAAGGTTTGTGTGCTGCTTGAGCTGAAAAAATTGAAAAAGAAATAAAATGTTTGCACTTACCTGCATTGCCGACCCTGCCTTCCTCTTTCAACATATTCCAAACTTCACAACAGTCTAATAAATGATTTGATCACTATTTTGATCTGAAACTTTACTCACAAAAGATTTATCTTACATCTTGAAAAACACCTTAAGGTTGTGACGCTCCTTTTCCTCTGGTGTGTTTGTGTCTTCAGTGTGAGATCAGGATCATGTGTGTCCAGCTCTGTGTCTTTGAAGAGTGACTGGTTAATAGGTAAACCACCAGACCTCAGAGAGAAAACACCATCATCTGCCAAAAGGTATTTTGTGTTCTACATTATTGATCTCACATGGACTGTATTTCAGTATTCATCTAACCCGTTTTTTGTACAGTAACGTAACAGATATCCATATAGCAATATTAAACTGTATCCTGTCACATTTGCAGTACAAAAGCAGTGCAAAGTTAAATGCACTGTGTGTGCATGTGTGTGTCTGTGTGTGGGTGAACTTTGTAACAGCAATGTGTGTGACTCATCGTAGCAGAAAGGCTTGAATTAACTCAAACCCAAATGAATCAAAAATTCATTGGGAAATTTCTTGCAGTAGTAATTCTCACAAACGTTACACAAGAACTGTTTCCTTCATGTCTGTCATTGTGCTGTTTATTTGATGCAGACGATGCGGAGACTGAGGCACACTCTGACAGGCACGTGGGAATGGTGGGCGGGGAGAACTAACTCATTTGCATTAAAGGCACAGGCCACAGATATAGCTGCAGTGTGTTCACAGCTGAGAATTCTAATATTCTGAAATGTCTAATAAATAATCTGATGGGTATTTTGTGCTAAAACTTTAGACATATTCTGGAGGCACAAAATTTCTTAAAAAAGGGATAAAATAGGTGCCCTTTAAAGGCACAGTATGTAAGATTCTTTCCATTAACCCCATTAGACCCTGCGTCCATTACAATGGACATCACATGACATCCCATTTTTCTGAAATTTGGAACATAATTCAGGTCTGAAGGGGTTAAAATATCTAGAAAACACTAGTATAGTGTTATATACATTTTCTAAATTGATTTGTTTAGAATGTATTCATCCATTGTCCTGATAAGGACAGATATCTGACCATAAAACACCCCCTTACTGTTTGTAACTTTAAATAATGCATTATTTCATCCCGCGTTTCATCCCTAATTATTCGGCCCTCATCAACATGTTAACTAATCTCACTAAAAAAGGAGAGCCAGATACTGTACAATGGTCAGAGCGTTGCCAAAAGGTTTGTGTGCTGCTTGAGCTGAAAAAATTGAAAAAGAAATAAAATGTTTGCGCTTACCTGCATTGCCGACCCTGCCTTCCTCTTTCAACATATCATAATACCTCACAACAGTCTAATAAATGATTTGATCACTATTTTGATCTGAAACTTTACTCACAAAAGATTTATCTTACATCTTGAAAAACACCTTAAGGTTGTGACGCTCCTTTTCCTCTGGTGTGTTTGTGCCTTCAGTGTGAGATCAGGATCATGTGTGTCCAGCTCTGTGTCTTTGAAGAGTGACTGGTCAAAAGGTAAACCACCAGACCTCAGAGAGAAAACACCATCATCTGCCAAAAGGTATTTTGTGTTCTACATTATTGATCTCACATGGACTGTATTTCAGTATTCATCTGGACATTTCTTATTTTACTTTAACAATACTTTAAAGGGCACTTATGATGAAAATTATTTTTTGTTTGCACAGAACTGTGTGTGGGTATAGTGTGTCCATGTCATTATTCCTGATGTTAAACTAGGATCCAAATCCCTCCTCTTTTGAGGCCCACCACAACATGATGTAGGAGTGCAGTTTCCCTGCCAACCAAATTGATTGACAGCCGTGTATTAACAGGGGCCTGTTTCAGAAAGCAGGTTAAGTTAAAACTCAGAGTAGTTTAACCCTGAAATGAGAGAAACTCTGGGTTTTCCGTTTCAAAATGGCAGGTTTGTTAAACTCGAGAAAGCAGGGTAAGTCAAGCCTGTTTCTTAAAGAGAGTTAACTTTAACTCAGAGTCAATTACCGTGGTAACTTACTCTGTGAATCCAACCTGGTCCGGTGCAGGTTTAATTCTCTAAACTCTGAGTTTCGGTCGGTCTCCTCCCCTTTTTTAAAGATGAAGCGGTATTTCTCGCATTAGTCTTACATTTCCACACACCTATTTTAGAGCTCATTTTGGAGATGTGCATAAAAAAGATTGATGGAAACGTCATGATTCACATAACTTTTGAAGTTGGGTTAAACTTTCATTTGATAAGATGCACATAAACTACGAAGTGCACTTAACAAATTACAGTATGTACATTAAAAAATGGTTTGTTAGCGATGATGATGAAAATGCGTGTGAAAGGACAAACCAGCAGACTGAGCACACTGCAGAACATCTTAAATGTTGTTTTAGTCATTCTAAAATGCCTTAACTGTTTCAGTATTATTGTATATTATTAATATATAATTATTAGCGTGTCAAGATCTCCGCGTCTGGCTTCAAACGCCCCACGTGTTCATTGTGTGTCAATTGTCTTCTGAGGCTCAGGTACATTAATTAAATAAAAAAATCATTGACGCAGCTTCTTCTACCGCAGTAATTCTGTTTTTACTGTTGATATTTGGCGCAAGTTAATCAGGAAGTGACGATTTTGTTCTCTTCGACTCTTTGGATAAAAACGCTGCTTTATTTTTAGGCGTTATTCCAGTTTTGCACAAATTTATGTAATAGCCTATATTTTGATGGAAACACAGCTATTGCCTACATTTTTGTCACACACAGAACAAAGTCACGTATGAAGCTTGTCCTTTTTTTCCATAAATAATTAGCTTAACCTTTGACATGTACTGTTACTAGATTAATGGGATTATTATTCTGTCTAAATTATTTTATTACTGCTTACCTTCTTAATGTTATATCAACCTCTATCACTTGATCAATAAAAAGGCAGACACATAACAAGTGCACTGTTAAATCTATTAAAACTGATAAAAGTGTGTTAAAGTTTAGAAAAAAAGTATAAACATCACACATTACATTACTTATTTTATTATACTTAAAATGTTTAAATACTTAAAATTAAAAATTATGCATTAACTTGAGCAGCTGTTTTCCCATGCTGTCTCTGTTTCATTGATGGTTGCTTAATTTTTAATATATACACTCATATTTGCTATAACTTTGCATGAGCACATCAAGTTCAGCTGGAGAAAGAAATGGTGATCTCTTTGTTTAAGATGTTGCCATAGTCACTCGTAATGTCTGCGCTCCATTGATAATGCCTTTTTATAGTCACGGTGCGCGCGCTTAACTCTGAGTTGGTCTACTCAAAGTTGATTGACCCAACTCAGATCAGCTGTTCTGAAAACGAAAACTCAGAGTTTTTAATCTCTCGGTAAATCAACTCAGAGTTAAAGTTTAAACTCCGAGTTGTTTGAACCTCCTTACTGAAACAGGCCCCATGTCTCCTTAGTAACGCAAATAATCATATCAACAAGACAAAGCAACTGGGATTAAAGGTTATGCTCAGCTCTCTGTGATCATTAATCTTCATCACATGTGATCCAGAATAAGTTTTACAGGTTTAAAACATTTCTAAATTAGTGCATGTTAGTAATAAAGTAAGTTAAAGAAGGTAAAATCACTGTATTTACTATACCACAGCTGCATGTAAGTACAATTATAAAATAAGATGCTTCAATACCAGTTTGTGGATGTTGAATCTTTTTTTTTTTTTTGTACAGTAACGTAACAGATGTCCATATAGCAATATTAAACTGTATCCTGTCACATTTGCAGTACAAAAGCAGTGCAAAGTTAAATGCACTGTGTGTGCATGTGTGTGTCTGTGTGTGGGTGAACTTTGTAACAGCAATGTGTGTGACTCATCGTAGCAGAAAGGCTTGAATTAACTCAAACCCAAATGAATCAAAAATTCATTGGGAAATTTCTTGCAGTAGTAATTCTCACAAACGTTACACAAGAACTGTTTCCTTCATGTCTGTCACTGTGCTGTTTATTTGATGCAGACGATGCGGAGACTGAGGCACACTCTGACAGGCACGTGGGAATGGTGGGCGGGGAGAACTAACTCATTTGCATTAAAGGCACAGGCCACAGATATAGCTGCAGTGTGTTCACAGCTGAGAATTTTAATATTCTGAAATGTCTAATAAATAATCTGATGAGTATTTTGTGCTAAAACTTTAGACATATTCTGGAGGCACAAAATTTCTTAAAAAAGGGATAAAATAGGTGCCCTTTAAAGGCACAGTATGTAAGATTCTTTCCATTAACCCCATCAGACCCTGCGTCCATTACAATGGACATCACATGACATCCCATTTTTCTGAAATTTGGAACATAATTCAGGTCTGAAGGGGTTAAACTATCTAGAAAACACTAGTATAGTGTTATATACATTTTCTAAATTGATTTGTTTAGAATGTATTCATCCATTGTCCTGATAAGGACAGATATCTGACCATAAAACATCCCCTTACTGTTTGTAACTTTAAATAATGCATCTGAACACATTCTGGTAGTAAAATGTCCTCTTTGTAACGGTGAGTTTGAAAAAAAGAGACAGAAGATCCATCTGCTGAATCTAATAAAGAAAAATACAAATGTCAAGGTGAAGATCAGAGCGAAAACAAAATAATCCAAGTAACAGAGAGACGCAAACACAACAGGGCACATCTAAAAATCCAACACTGAAACAAGTGCAGATCTGGACACAAAAATCAACTTATGACAAGGTTTATGTGTGATTTATGAAACATTCATATGCAGACAGTCCCATCATACAGATGATCTTTATATGTTGATAAATGTGGCGACTAAAACATGTGTGGCGACTTTGGAAACATGTGTACACCACTTCCCATGTAAAGTCAAAATAAATAAATGAATTGATGGAAGTGTGCGCAGAGCTGTAGGTAAATTCTAAGCAAATATATTTAACCTGAATATTGACTTAAATGAAAAACTTTCAATGCAGGAGACACATGAGTAAGAGTGATGGGCTAAGATTCACATATTCAAAGGAGTATAATAAATGATCTGATTGTGATCTGAATATTTATACATTAAAGCTTTATCTTACACCTTAAACAACACCTTGAGGTTGTGACGCTCCTTTTCCTTTAGCGTGTTTGTGTCTTCAGTGTGAGATCAGGATCATGTGTGTCCAGCTCTGTGTCTCTAAAAAGTGACAGCTTTATTGCATGTAACCTTTTTACATCCTTTTTTGAGTCATGACGCAAAACGATGGGGTGCACTCATTGATTCTTTGTGTTGTTGTTGTTCCTGCAGTGTGGATGGAGATGATCAGACTGGAGACCTGCAGCAGGATTCACTCCAACCAGAACATGATGAACTTCAGAGAGTCAAAGAGCTGCACAAAACCAGCATGAAGAACAAGTATGAGAGATTATTTGAGGGAATCAACCATGGAGAGACTCAAACCCTCCTGAACAGGATCTACACACAGCTCTACATCATAGAAGGAGAAAGTGAAGGAGTGAATGAAGAACATGAGGTTTTACAGATGGAGAAAAGAGCCAGAACAAAACCCTCACAACACACTCCAGTCTACTGCAATGACATCTTTAAAGCCTCAGCTGGAGCAGGACATGAGGAGAAGATCAAGAAGGAGAAAGCCCAGATCAAGACTGTACTCACTAAAGGCATCGCTGGAATTGGGAAAACCGTCTCTGTGCAGAAGTTTGTTCTTGACTGGGCTGAAGGAAAAGACAATCAGGATGTAGATTTCATGTTTGTGCTTCCATTTCGAGAGCTGAACTTGATCAGAGATCATCAGTACAGTCTTCACAGACTACTGCTGGACTTTCATCCTGAACTTCAAGATCTGGAGCCCAAGATTTATGAGCAGTGTAGAGTTGTGTTCATCTTTGATGGTCTGGATGAAAGCAGAATAACACTGAAGTTTTCAGATGAGGAGAAAGTTTGTGCTGTGACTGAAACTTCATCAGATGAGGAGAAAGTTTGTGCTGTGACTGAATCTTCATCAGTGGCTGTGTTGATGTGGAGCCTCCTGAAAGGAGATCTGCTTCCCTCTGCTCTCATCTGGATCACCTCCAGACCAGCAGCAGCCCATCAGATCCCCTCCAGATACATCAAGCGTCTGACAGAGATTCAGGGATTCACTGAGCCTCAGAAGGAGGAATATTTCAGGAAGAGAATCAGCGACGAGCATCAAGCCGGCAGAATCATCTCCCGCATCAGAAGAGCAAGAAGCCTCCAGATCATGTGCCACATACCCGTCTTCTGCTGGATCTCCTCCACTGTGCTTCAGAAGCTCCTGGAAGAAGATGTGAGTGCAGAAATCCCTCAAACTCTGACTGAGATGTACATCCACTTCCTGCTGATTCAGATCAACATGAGGAAGCAGAAGTATGAAGAGAGAGATCCAGAGAAACTCCTGCAGTCCAACAGAGGAGTGATCCTCAAACTTGCTGAAGTGGCTTTCAGACAGCTGATGAAGGGCAATGTGATGTTCTATGAGGAGGACCTGATTGAGAGCGGCATAGACGTCACTGACGCCTCAGTGTATTCTGGGATCTGCACTGAGATCTTCAAGGAGGAATCTGTGATTCATCAGAGGAAAGTCTACAGCTTCATCCATCTCAGCTTTCAGGAGTTTCTGGCTGCTTTCTTTGTGTTTTACTGCCATTTGACAGAGAACAGAGAAGTGCTGAGGGTGATTTATGACAGAGAATATTCAGATGATGAAGATGAGTCAGACAGTGATGAATCTGAATATTCATATGATCAATATCTACAGTCCAGCTCTGAGTTCTCTCTGTATTATCTGCTCAGTTCAGTAGTAGATAAAGCTGTCAGGAGTAGTAATGGTCATCTGGATCTGTTCCTGCGGTTCCTGCTGGGCGTCTCACTGGAGTCCAATCAGACACTCTACCATGATCTGCTGACACACACAGAGGAGAGCTCAGAGAGCATCAGGAGGATCACACAGGACATTAAAAACAAGATCAAGACAGATGATGATCCCTCAGCTGACAGATTGATCAGATGGATGCAGAAGAAGAGAAATGACCGTCTCTCAGCTGAAAGATCCATCAATCTGTTCCTCTGTCTGCTGGAGCTGAAAGATCAGACTCTGGCCAGAGAGATTCAGGAGTTTGTGAAATCAGACAAACACTCAGAGGAGAAACTCTCTCCTGCTCACTGCTCAACAATCTCCTACATGATTGAGATGTCAGAGGAGCCGCTGGATGAGTTAGACTCTAATAAATTCAACACATCAGATGAGGGAAGATGGAGACTGATAGCAGCTGTGAGAAACTGCAGAAGAGCTCTGTGAGTATTCATTGATTGATCACAGAAGACACACATCAGTCTGCACTGAAGACTCAGATCAGTTTAGTGAATCACTGCCCTGCTTTAACAGAAAATCTTTAGCTGGCCATATCGTCCCCCTGTGAGATCGCTGATACACCATATTACTGCATGGGGACGCGGCGGCAGTGTTCTGTTTACTTATTTGCTCATTTATTTCATCATTTCTAAACGTATTTAACAAACTTTTCTTGACTATTTACTCACACAAACAACATTTGTACTTATTTAATAATCTACTTCATTTGCTTTACATTTTATCCTGGAAAATAACTCAAATCCCTGTAAATCCCTGTGCTCCTCCAGCTGAATAGGACATTTGTTGATGTGTATTTGCTCAAATCTAACACAGTGTTGCTCTTGGATAATTGTGTTTGTTTTCTGATCAGAGAAATAGTGTAATTTTAGACACAGTATTGCCGTCTCGCCGCAGACATGCCTCTAATATTACATTTACTGTAGGCCTAAACACTAAACTTTACACTGAGCTCAGTAAAATGCTCTCTGATTAGTTATTAATAATCTGTTCAATAATGCATTACAGTCATGTGAATGGGGAAATATGGGTTCCCCTTCGGGGGGAACTTCAGCACTATAAGTGGATTTGATTGTAAAATCCACGCATTGGGAGGTTCGGTTCAGAAGCTACTCGTCTGAAAGAGTATTGAACGGGCCAATTAAGAATGAATTGGCAGCGCAAGCCTGCGCAGGTGAGCGGCATAAGCAATCAACTGAGTATATAAGCTCACCTGGCGCCAGCAGACGCTATCCTTTTCGCTTCAGAGACTTTCTGATCGAGTCGATGAGGGTTCCTCCTGCTGTGACCAGCGATTCTGAGCGAACGAGAGCATTCTCCCGGTCCAGAGTGTGTACACGCAGTGGCAGACGGTCGAGCTGGGTTTCTCCCTTGCCTGGCGTTCTTTGGGTCCGGTCCTCCAGAGCGGTGCGTATAAAGTTGCAAACTTCACAGAAAGAGCAACACAGTCGTGCAGCACGTCCTTATCAGGACGGCGCTCCGACTGTGCGTTTCTGGATGCGGTGGTTTCCTGTCCTCGGATGATGGGCGCGGGCACTGCGTTACATGTCTGGGGTCCAGCATGTTAATGCGCTGCTCGCGGGCAGTTCATGTCGTCATTGCGATGCCATGACTGTTGCGCAAGATCGTGGTAAGCCTTTGCAAAGGGCGAACCACCCCAGTTGTCCCCTGCTCTGCAGCGGGCACTCGGGCAGATCTGAGGGTTTCAGCGAGAGATAATCCGTCGCCCACGGGCCCGCGGACCTCCCGCTCCTCTAAGCGCTCCATCCAAGCTTCGGGCGGGGGAAGCGATCCGTCTAACAGATGGTAGCCCTTACGCCCGATGACACCGGAGACCAGATGTCCACCGCGGCATCGGAGGGTGGGCTTTCATTGTCCGATGATGATCCAGACCCGCTCGCCCCCTTCGGGCTGGTGAGCGCTGTCACTACGGATCCTGAAACGGACATGTTAGCCGTGCTTTCCCGGGCTGCTTCGGCCGTGGGTTGGAGATGGTTTATCCCCCAGCTCCGCGGCCGGACCGACTAGAGGGGCGTTACCTTCTTCCCGGAGGTGCACAGTAGGCTCACGCGGTCTTGTAAAGCACTTTTTTCTGCTCGTGCTGCGTGTCCCTCCACCCTATCCACTCTTGACGGTGAAACAGCCAGGGGGTATGTGGCGATTCCTCAGGTTGAGTGCGCGATGGCGGTAAATCCGCGCGGCGCCTCTTCTTGGCGGGGTCCGCCTCGTCTCCCATCCAAAGCCTGTAAGTTATCTACCTCCCTCGGAGCTAGAGCTTACATAGCTGCGGGCCAGGCTGCTTCCGCCTTGCATGCGATAGCCACCTACCAGCGCTACCAAGCGCAGGCGCTGGCCGAGCTGCACGAGGGTGGGTCCAACTCAGGCTTACGAGCTTCGCACCGCCGCCGACTTAGCTCTTCGGACTACTGAGTCCGCTGCGTGTGCGTTGGGGAGGACGATGTCCACATTAGTGGTCCAGGAGCGCCACCCCTGGCTGATATGCGCAAAGTCGACAAAGTCCGCTTTCTTGACTTCCCCATATCCCCAGCCAGGTTCGGCGACACTGTCTGTGAATTCACCCAGGAATTCAAGGCGGTGAGAGAGCAGTTGGTGGGTGATGCCTTATCGGCGGTCCGTAGCCCGCTCCGCCCGCCGTGCCATTCATACCTGCTCCTCGCCGAAGGCGCCCGCCTACGAGAGCTGCTCCGCCCCCGCACACGCCTCCGGCGAAGCGAGCGCGTCGGGCACCTCGGAAGCAGGCAGCCCCCCTGCCCAGAACGCCGCTAAGTCCGGCAACGGACCGCGAAGCGCCCCTGGGACAGGCCATCTGGAGAAGAGGGAACTTGCTCTTTCCCCGCTGGAGGGCGGGGCCCATTTCCAACGGCACTTTTTACTGCCATGAAAACATTATGAAAGGGCACTTTTCACTTCCCCAGATGTGACAGCCCGAAATCTGCCAGTCTGGGACGCTATGCTTTCTAGCTTGCAGATTCGGTGCGTTTCGCCAGTGGCTCACGAGCGCTGGGAGGACGGTCTCCTTTCTCCCACCCCTCGAGCCTCCCCTCCAGAGCTCGGGTTTGGAGTGAGAGCAAATATCTCACCTCCAGCTTTTCCGTGGGACCCGCGAGCTTCCCGGATCAGCACACCCACTCCGCGCTGCCCCACTGCTGGTACGTCAGCGATTGTAGCGATGAGTCCATTAGCGAGAGCTCTGCCTGCCTGGTTAGCGCAGACCAGCTCTTCGCGGTGGCTCATACGCACAATCAGAATCGGCTATGCGATTCAGTTCGCGAAACGGCCCCCCAAGTCACGGGTGTGTATTCACCAGGGTCAGCCCCCTGTCCGCCCCTGTCTTGCGAGAGGAGATTGCTGTCCTCCTGGCGAAGGATGCAATCGAGCCGCTCCCTCCAGCCGAGATGGAGAGCGGGTTTTACAGCCCACGCTTCATCGTGCCCAAAAAGAGCGGTGGGTCATGGCCAATCCTAGATCTGCGCGTTTTGAACCGCTGCCTGCACAAGCTGCCGTTCAGAATGCTCACGCAGAAGCGCATCCTCCGGTGCGTTCGTCCTCTGGGTTGGTCTGCAGCATTAGACCTGATGGACGCGTATTTCCATGTCTCCACTCTTCCTCGCCACCGACAGTTTCTGCGGTTTGCGTTTGAAGGTCGAGCTTGGCAATACAAAGCCCTCCCCTTCGGGCTCTCTCTGTCTCCGCGGGTCCTCACCAAGCCCGCGGAGGGTGCCTCAGCGCCCCTTCGGCTCGCGGGCATCTGCATACTCAATTTCTTACGACTGGCTGATTTTTGCCCTCTCTCGGAGCAGTTGATTATGCACAGAGACAAAGTGCTCTGGCACTTCCACCTGTGGGGGTTTCAGGTCAACCGAGAAAAGAGCAAACTCGCCCCCGTGCAGAGGATCTCTTCTCTCGGGCTGGAGCTGGACTCGGTCACCATGGCAGCGCGCCTCTCCGGAGAGCGCGCTCAGCTGATGCTGTACTGTCTGAGAGAGCTCGACAGTAAAATAGTGGTCCCACTGAAACTATTTCAGAGGCTCCTGGGGCATATGGCATCCGCAGCCGCTTCATGCCGCTCGGATTATTCTATATGAGACCACTTCAGCACTGGCTTCACGATCGAGTCCCCAGACGCGCATGGCACGCGCGCGCACACCGAGTCTCTGTTACTGCGCTGTGTCGCCGCGCCCTCAGCCCTTGGAGCGACCCCTCGTTCCTACAGGCCTGGGTGTCTCTAGAACAGGCGTCCAGTCTTGTTGTCGTTTCAGCAGACACTTCCAACACGGGCTGGGGGGCTGTGCGTTGCGGGCATGCGGCTGCGGACCTGTGGAAAGGTACCCAGTTGCATTGGCATATCGCCTGGAGCTGTTGGCAGTGTTTCTCGCTCTCCACCGTTTTTTTCCGGTGCTGGAGCGGCAACACGTGCTGGTCAGGACGGACAGTACGGCGGCGGTGGCGTATATCAGCCGTATAGGGGGTATGCGCTCTCGCCGCATGTCTCAGCTCGCCCGCCGTCTGCTCCTCTGGAGTCATCCGCGGCTGAAATCGCTGCACGCCATTCATATTCAGGCAAGCTCAACCGTGCAGCCGATGCGCTCTCACGGCAGCCTTGCGTCCTGGAGAATGGAGACTCCACCCCGAGTCTGTTCAGCTGATATGGGCGCGATTCGGGGAAGCCCAGATCGATCTGTTGCTTCCCCCGAGATCGCTCATTGCCAGTTGTTCTTTCCCTGACCGAGTGCTCTCGGCACGGATGCACTGGCTTACAGCTGGCCTCGGGGCACGCGCAAATACGCGTTTCCCCCAGTGAGCCTGCTCGCGCAGTTACTGTGCAAGGTCAGGGAGGAC